TGCGCAGGGAGCCACCAGGACTGGACTGCCCCGTGCGCAGGGAGCCATTATCGAGCTACTCAAACAAACCCCTGTTACTGCTCTGTCTGCCTGTCTCTCTCACAGTTTTTTTCTTTTAGTTTTGGTCCCCTACAAAACCTTGATTCAATAATTATTTTGGTACCAGAAATGGGGAATTCCTCAACTCCTGAAATATCCAAGGCACTTTTAACATTCTTGTGTAAACAGTTGGTCTTGCCTTTAATGGTTTCCTTGCAACTTTAAATGAGCTACTTTTGGCCAAACTGCATGGTTCCCCATGCATTTCTACCCTGCATATACGCTCCGGGTACTCACTATGAACTGGTTAAAAGCAGCTAGCACAACCATGGCATAGCCTGAATGCTACACTGTCCTGAAAGGTTCTTTATTCAGCCAATTAGCTTATCATTTTTCAATTCATATTTATTCAAGGTTTTGGAACACGCATAAACTACCAACAGATTCTCTGCTGCAATGTAACATGACAGTTTCCAGTCCAATTTTCAATAGTCATCAGAGAACAGTCTTTACTGTATGTTTCAACAGGTTCTATCTAGTTTCCCAAACTCCTACCAGAATGGTCCTCAGCTCTGCTCACATCACTCTAGGGTGCTCTAGCCTACATTCCCAAACTCCTTCACATTCCTCTCACACATCATTTCTCAAACCTAATGCCCACATTGTCAGGTTTAGTTACAGCAATTCTACTCTCCAAATTTTTCTATCAGTTATTTTTGCCCTGTTCAGGCAGAATCTCTGACAGAGAGTCAACGTCTGGGAGGGTCCACTTGTTTTTAGTTATGTGCATTCCATCATGGCAGGGAAGGCATGCCCGAGTGGCTCACTTCCTCACGAAGGGCTGGGTGTTAGTGGCTCATCACAATCACAGCAGACCAAAAAGCAGAGGGAACGCCACACAGAAACAAAGGGCTGAGTACAGTCTTCAAAGTTCACCTTCTAAAAGTTCCAGAGCTTCCCCAACTAGCGCCACCACTTAGGGAGCTGGGTTCAATATGAACACTGGAAGACATTTCAGATTAAAATCATGACAACCTATCTTGTTTTAAAGAAACAAACAATAAAAAAAATACCAACTACCCAGATGAGCAAAATAATATACTAAAAAGAAGGTTTCCTGTTATCCTAGCATATCTGATTTAGATGTGATCCCACATGAAGGCAGAATTTAAAAAAAAAAAAAAAGAAAGCATAGCACAGTGTTTGCAGAATCACACAGAGGGATGATTGCTCCACAAAGCACTCCCTGAGGAAAAGGATAAAGTGAAGCAACAGAGATCTGTTCGGCGTCTGCGAACTACCAGGGACATTAAGAGTAACAAGCCAACCAAGCACTTGGTTTGTGAAGTTATCTGAGCCTCTATGGTTTCTTTGGGGCCCTTCCCCCACTTATTCACTGCTCACAGTCCACCACAGGAAAACCGTGGTGGGGCCATGGGAGAATAAGATAAGGTTCCTCTTCTCAAGGTCACGACAGGACAAACTGACAGTTTAATAAGAGAAAGCAGGCTGTAAACAAATCATTAAACATAACCTGATTTGCAGAGCCCAGAAGAGGAAACGGCTCACTGCCGGGGGATATGTGGAAACCACTAACAATGTGACCGCTGACCTGACGATTGCAAGATGAAATCTGCAAGGGGTAGCTGTGCTGGCAGCACACGCCAGCAAAACAAATAAATAAATAAAAAGCCTTGTTCAGTTCTGTCCAGCTCATCTCAAATACCTGCGCTGAGAACATTTTCAGGAGGAAAGTGGAGAAAAGACAGACATCCCACTACACTGTTGGAGCTAATCAAGTTCAAATCAGTAGGGAATCCGAAACCACAACTAATCTCAATGTTCTTTTCATGTTTCTCTAAAGTACAGGGCAGAAGCCATGTCTCATAAAAACAGAGGGGACCAGTGAGGTGGCTGAGCAGGCAAAAGTTCTTGCCATGTAAGCCCATGTTAGAAGGAGAGAACGAAGCCCCCAGTGTGGGCACGCACACCTCCTCCATATTCAGTAAAAACAAAGCATTTTCAAAAATCAACGAGAAGGGTTAGAGTTGGTACTTGGTGTCCTAACAGAGGATCAGGGTTGGATTCCTAGCACCCACATGGCGACTCACAACCATCTGTAACTCCAGTTTCAGTGAAGCCAATCTCTCTGACCACTGCGGGTACCAGGAAAACACACGGTAAGACAATAATACATACACAGCCAAAACACACATACATATTAAATAACAGAAGAGAGAGAGTTCAGCGAGCGTCTCCTAAGAACTTTGCACCAATAACGAAGTATGGTCCAGCATACCTCCAGTACATCTGTGGGGTGACCGAGGGTCCGGACATCACTGTACCAACACAGGTATTTCAGCACACCTCAGCCATGTCTGGGAGATGACCCAAGGGCCAGTTACAATACTGTCATTTTTCAGTCCTTATGCATTACTTCACTTTCCAGTGGTATTTAATCTTGAAAATGCCATCATTGCCCTTGACTTACTCGACCTATCAGGAGCCTCAGCATTACTCTGCAAATCAGACTTATGTTTGACGACTTCAATCTGAAACCCAACTCCATTCATAATGTAGAGTCAATCTATTCATAATCAATATTCAAATAGAGGTCCTTGTAAAGATAAAAGAAACACACCCTCAAGTCTTTTCTTCCAGTACCCAGCACTGCTGGGAAACAGGAAGTGACTTTCATCTCCCAGGTCACTTACTCCAACCCTTGTGATGAGGAAAACACCAGAACACATGCAACTCTGTGGCCCGTGCCCATGGTCTCAGTTTCCAGGAGGCAGAGACTGCCTTAAAAAAAAAAAACAAACAGAAGGGGGGGGGGTTCCCCATTTACTATCCATGAACTATTCAAAGATGTTTTGTGTTTCAAGGTGGTGTTCCTTTAGAGATAAAATCTCACAAAACAGCAAATTCCTGGAACAAGTAATTGGAAGATATGAGTGATTTAGGAATCCAATTAGTCCATAAACACCTGCTCAGGAAGAAACCAATTATAAAGAAAAAGCCGTTCATACCATTAGCCTCTTCCTTCTTAGGGAGTGGTACTTATTAAAACACACTTGCTTACCAAAGGGATTCAGACCCTTTGCATGTGAGAAAGCTATCTAGTGCTTAGGTGTCGTTAATGAGCACCTCGGCCTTCTGGCCAGTTGAGTAAGAGTATGATGCAAGACTTCAAAAATTCTCTATTTCTTTTTCTAGTCTTTTCTAAGTTCTGTTTTTTGCATAAGTCACAAATAATTCAGTTAGTTTATGTAGTACCTGACCAACTCACATTACTTAAGTCCTGTTTTAAGTACCATCTTCTCAGAGAGTTCCCATCCATGCTGTCGCTGAGGTTGCACTGCATTAATACATGTCCCATCAGCCATGAGACTAACTACATACTTCTATTTCAAAGTGCATGCCCCAAGGGGTAGAATAAACCTTTCTGCAGAGAGAGAGTGCACTCACGGACACTGAACTAACTCTAACTCACCCAATCACATACAAGCGAGAGGTGTGACCTAACCCCAACAAACAAAGCAGAGCAAAAGGTCGACCATGGAGGCCACGCCTCTAATCCCTGCACTCTGGAGGCAAAGGCAGCAGAGCTCTGTGACATGAGGCCAGGCTGGTCTGGACAGTGAGTTCCAAAACAAATAAAAGGCAGCAAAGATGCATTAGAATTGGTAGCACCCTCATTGTCAGCAGACATTTCAACTTCTGAACTAGAGGAGAAATGTGTGGTTGTGTCTGTATTGGTTCTGGAACCTTTTTACTCTTTCCCCCCTACTTGATAGAAAAAAAATGGCAGTGGTTAATCTTTAACTACATTATCACTGCATTAAAAATTTAGAAAATTTCTAATGGCAGTACGTGCGAAATGAAGAATGAAGACACACGCAGGACAGAATACATATGGAGACTCGTGCCTGAGACAGAGCCTTGGGATGGAAGGGCCATTTTCAGTTCTACTGCTGACCCAAAGAGAGGAGCAAACAAGGGAGTCTGACAGCACGCTAAGTTTTTTTTTTTTTAATGAAAAAGATTTATTTTATTCATGTGCCTGCATGTTTGTACATAATGCCACATTCAAATAGTGCCCAGAGAGGCCAGAAGAGGGCATTAGCCTGGAGTGGAATCAAACTTGAGTCCTCTGGAAGAGGAGAAGCATGGTTCGGTTCTGTCTGTCTGTCTGTCTGTCTGTCTGTCTGTCTAATCTATCTCTTTGGCAACTCAAACCAAGTTTTATTAGGACATGAGCATTTTCTCTAAAACCAAAAAAAAAAAAAAAGAAAACAAAATGCACTTCTTTGCTATCTACTTATTTAGAACACAAGGAACCCGCGTTGGCTTTTACTTCTGGCCTCATTTCTGGAACTGAAGTGGAAACTTTTTTTCCCATTTGAATATACTCCTCATTTCTTAACACTCTTCATCCGTACACAGTTCTTCTCATCTGTACACACTCATCTGTTCACACTCCTTCTCATCGGTTCACACTCCTTCTTATCTGTTCACACTCCTCATCTGTACACACTTCTCATCTGTTCACACTCCTTCTCATCTGTTCACACTCCTTCTCATCTGT